CTTTCAAAATATCTTCTTTGGTATTCAGAGGAAGAAAGAAATTAAGGGTGCTTTCAAACCTGTGAATCAATTCAGTTATTCCTAAACAGGGATTAAAATTGTTACAATGTTGCTCTTTTTTCTTGGTGCGGTTAGCTTTCACATGGCAAAGTTTCTAAACGGACCAAAAGAGCTAAAAACAAGTCACGTGTGAGTAAACTCTCCTCACATTGGTCAGAGTTTCACGGTTTATTTTGCAGAGTCCTGCTCAGCTGTCAGGGGGGGTGGTGGTTTGGTGGTGATTGACAGGGTGCATGGGATGTGTCTGAAGAGCGAGAAGGGATGCGGTGGGGAGGGGCTAGAAGGGTGCGCGGTGTATTTGAGGACCAGGAGGAAGACGCGCGATTTCCGGGGGAAAATCTGTGCATTTGCAGGAGACTCCCGAAACTTCCAGGAGACTTGGGATGTCTGTTGAAAGACCTCCCGCCCTACTTTATATAGCTGTATGCCTATTATACACCCATAAAACACTGTGATATAACCAGGCTCGGATCATATCGCTTTCTCACTACAATCGATCCGCTCCAGAGTTCTTTTCAACTGAGCCGAGACCACCTCATTTAAACGATTTCGGAGCGATTGTTTTGGCGCAGATCTGAGCACGACTGGGGGATTCACATATGCCAAACGAATCGCTCTAACTGGGCAAACGAGACAGCTTCCGAAACAAAAGTCTAGGTGTGAAAGCACCCTAAGTATCTACATGTCAACTAATTCTTATTAGATTATAAGTAGACTGTTGGGGTTGGGGTTAATGTAAGGTGACATGTACTTGCAAAGTTTCTTATAATCAAAATAAATGTCTGTTGAAGGTATCACAGATATTAACCACTAATACTCTAATGTCTACTAATACTCAAGTAGACATCAAAATAAAGTGTTAGCAGAAACTCAAGCAGGTTTGGAACAAGTGAAGGATGAGTAAATTAACACAGGATATTCATATTTAGATTAACTAGCCCTTTAAATGGCCTGTGTTGTCAGATTGTCTGGCACCTGTGCTGCATCACCGATGTGTGTTTTTTCATACTTCCTCCTCCTGTCATCTTGCTAAGAGACACAAAGTGAAATGTGTCCACTGAGGACTTTTATCTGCATTTTTCATCTTTGAGGAAGTGTTTTTGGTTATGTGGTTCTGCATTTGTTTCATGGTCTGTTGGCCTCTTTTTCCATTTACTCAATACAACTGAATAGATGAAAGAAGAAACACGAAGCAAGACTATAGAAAATAGTGTGTGTGATAGAATGTGTTTGAACAGAGTGTTTGATTGATTCATCGTGCACTCAAGCAAATTTACGCAATCTGAGGTGTTTTGTCCTATTTAAACATTAAAATGTAAATGATAAAATATAAAATAGACATTTATTTTTATTTTAAAAATTTATAATGTATATTTCTAATGTATGTTTGATCAAACATTGCCGGTTTTGTGAGAAAAGAGGTTATATTATAAAAAAAAAAACATTAATAAATAAAAATAGTAATAATAAAAAATAACGTGAATATATATAGATAGATAGATAGATAGATAGATAGATAGATAGATAGATAGATAGATAGATAGATAGATAGATAGATAGATAGATAGATAGATAGATAGATAGATAGATAGATAGATAGATAGATAGAATTTCACAACACAAACTTTTCACGTAACACTTTCTTTTCTACTGTCCTTTGTACATGTTGTAAGTATACAGTATACTTACAATACCAGTAAACTATCCAAAATATATGTAATAACCCCAGTAGTGTTGAAATCTTGTTCTGGCTTTTCAATCTCTTGGCTTTTTAATCTATGTTATGCTGCTTTGATATAACCTGCATTGTTAAAAGTGATATAAAAATAAACTTGTCAACTATACTCATCTACTACATTAAGCATATTGTATAATTATATTCCTCTACATTTAAACAGACAATAACACTGCAACTATGACACCATCAAATAAAATGTGATTCTAAATTCCCAATTTACAAAGACCAAGTGCACCACATCAATTATAAAACAACAACACTTACCCATCATTAATGAAGAGTTAAAAATAGACAATTGATAGAAAGGAAGTCAAAGAGGGTACTGAAGCATCTCTGAGAACAGCAGGATATTGCGCATTTACACACTTAGGTGGTCAATCTGCAAACAAGGCGGACACTTGTGTGATGTTTTTTTCCACCACAAGTGAACTAAAACGAGCCACGACTTTCCACTACGTAATAGAGGAATGAAGAAGTTGACTGTTTTGCTTTGCAATACTCTCAACACAAAATGAACTACACTGAAAAGAGTAGTTCATTGGATGTTATTAAGGGGTTGTAAGCAATTTATATGGGCTGAATTTAGACAAAATAATAATAATAAGTGGAACATTACTGAATTTTATTTGTTTGTTTAAATGCAGCCCATATATTTAGTTTGCAACCACTTACCTTAAATAAAAAAAGTTCATAAAATGAATCATTTTTTCAGTGTAAACACCAAGCGATCATGGCAGTGTACATACAGTAATCAGCATTTTTTTCTGCCTCCACTTTCTCAGATGAGCTGGGTTACCTTTTAAGGTGAATATTAATGGTGGAAATTTACAGATATTTATCACTATCCCTTCAGTTGACTGATTGCATTAAGAACTGCATTGTTGTATTACATGTGTTATGTTTAAATATGTATATGGTTGTTTAATTCAATAATGTGCAGACATTTCTAGCACAAAAATCAGAACATTTGGTAGAGTGGGGATGGGGGGTTGGGGTCAATTTCCGGGAGATTATAATTTTTTTTTACGGACATTTGGGAGTCTCTGTGCATATGCGGGAGATTCCTGAAACTGCCGGGAGAATTGGGGTGTCTGTTTACAGGTAATATTGGGGATATTTATTATTATTATTATTATTATTATTATTATTATTATTATTATTATTATTATTATTAATATTATTATTATTATTATTATTATTATTATTATTGTATCACTGCTAATCCAATTATTTTATGCAAATAACAGTGCAGATGTTGGCCAATCACATTTGTGTAAAGCTTTTATAATGACAGCTGGTAATCACACTGTGCTTTATGATCAATCTTTATACTGTACACTAACCTGCCACTTTATTAGGTACACCTGTCCAACTGCATGTTCAAGCAAATTTCTAGTTAGTCAATCATATGACAGCAACTCAATGCATTTAGACATGTACAGGAACAGAAAACTGAGGCTACAATTTAAACAGGCTCACCACAATTGGAAATAGAAGATTGGAAAAATGTTGCCTGGTGTGATGAGTCACAGTTTTTGCTGTGACATTCAGATGGTAGGTTCAGAATTTGGAGTCGACACCATAAAAGCATGGATCCATCCTGCCTTGTATCAACGGTTCAGGCTGCGGGTGGTGGTGTAATTGTGCTAAGGATTTTCTCTTGGTTCATTTTGGGCCTAGTAGTACCAATTGAGCATAATGTCAACGCCACAGCCTACCTGAGTATTGTTGCTGACCATGTCCGTTCCTTTATGACCACAGTGTATCCATCCTCTGATGGCTACTTCCAGCAGGGTAACACACCATGTCATAAAGCGCGAATCATGTAAGATTGATTTCTTGAACATGACAATGAGTTCACTGGACTCAAATGGCCTCCACAGTCACCAGAACTCAATCCAATAGAGCACTTTTGGGATGTGGTGGAACGGGAGATTCGCATCATGGATGTGCAGCCAACAAATCTGCAGAAACTGCATAAAGCTTTCATGTCAATATTGACCAAAATCTCTGAGGAATCTTTTCAGTACCTTGTTGAATTTATGCCACAAAGTAATAAGGCAGTTCTGAAAGCAAAAGGGTCCAACCAATACTAGTAAGGTGTACCTAATAAAGTGGCAGATGAGTATATATCTTTATACACTACTACTACTACTGTGCTTTTTTGTGTCGCGGTCAAGCTGGATGCGATTGGCTGATGATCTCATCAGTGTAAAGCTTTAGACATACCCTCCATCAAGCGTTAACCACAATACCCCATGAGAATGACTCCATAGTAAATGTATGTCCTAATGGCCTGATGTCCTCTGTTTTCAGTTTATTGGCGACAAAAAGTGCTCTTGGAGCTTTATATGATTACTATTTAATCACTAAAGTCACATTGAATGCTTGACAATGTTTTAGTTCTGGACTTGTCTCAGGATCCTTGCTGTCCATGGGCAGTCAGAGAGCTCTTGAATCTAAAATATCTTAATTTGTGCTCTAAGACCAAAGGTAATGGAATGACATGAGGGTGTCAGAGAGCTTTTCATTTTTTTAATGAACTAACCGTTTAAGAAGGCGAACAGCAAATAGCCACGAGAAAAAAAAGTGTACAACAAAATGTTGCATATAATCTCTCAAAATATGTATGAAGACATAAAATAGGAATGAACCCTCTGTTAAAACCTTAAGAAAGCAAATATGAATAAAACATTTTACTATTTACAGCTCAGTACACGAGAAATTTGAAGAAAACTGCCTTTAAAAACCTGTATTACCATTGTTTTTAACTGACAAAATCAATGAAGTGTAACACTTAATGGACTTAAATGTGTATTTTGGATATTGTCTGTACATATGACTGAAGAAAAAAACACTAATGAATCTTTTGTTTGCCTTTAGTGTAAGTAATGGGACTTAACAGGTCAGTGACATTCTGGCTTTGTGACTGTAGCAGTTCTGGGAATATTCTGCTGAGTAACTTGTGTTTTTGACAATGCTATCTCATGGCAATTTGTAACTTTTTGAATTCATAATTTGCACAGTCTCGTTCCTACATCATTCACCCCCCCAAAGAAGTGCAGGGTTAGGTGGTGTGGTTTTAGGGGCACACATCCTGTTGTGCAGTTTATTATGAATTAGTCTTGACAGTACATACAATGCTTGTTTTTTTGTTTTTGTTGTTTCGTGAGATCAAGATGTGTTTGCTGTAGGCTCTTACTTGTTTCTCTGCTGCAGTACAATGTGTTGTCTGCCATCGTGGCATCATCAGGTTCACTATGTAAACTGTTTCCTCTCATCGTACCTTTCTCTGGCCAGTTCATCTATAACAAACACAAATACATGATAGCTGAAATGACATAAAACACAAGCAAACAAGTCAGTTCTTAACAGAGTCACAAAAAAAGAAAGACATTAAGTGATTTACATTTTGATAGGTTTTGTAGGAATTGCAAGAAAATAACAGTGTAAAAACCATAATCCTAAATTGCTCACATTACAACTATAACTAGTATTAGAATGATCAATTATGTAAATTAGTTCCATTTGAATATTTGTAGACTGTCTGCTTAATATCTGCTGACACTGCTCCTTCAACAGACATTTAACTGACTATAAGAAACTTTGCAAGTACATGTCAACTTTCATTAACCCTAACCCCAACCTAACAGTCTACTTATAACTGTCAGAATTTCACCAGCATTGACCACACCACACTTTGAGCTGGACTTTACTGTAGGGATGTAGGGATGAAAAGGATGGTGAAAGAACAGTTGGATGAAGGGGAAGGGAAGTAAGAGGATGTCTGGTGAACAGGTGGGAAGGTTGATCGAGAGTCCTACTATGCCCAGATACTCAGAGAGGGGGTACTGTCTCTATAATATTTAGGCAGTGATTGGACCCCCCGATTCAACCTCTTCATTTAGGAGTGAAGAGGGTTATAGGATTGTGAATGGGAAGTGAGGACATAGAGGAAGGGAGGAAGGGTTCAAAGAGAATGAGAGAAACAGTGCTATAGAGGGATGGTCTCCCTTAAATAAGTTTAAGGGGGTAGGTTATTGGCTAAGGAGACAAAGTGAGGCTGGGTTCCGCCGCTGAACCGTTATTAACAAGTTAACTCCATTAGAACGATTACAAAGGTACGTGTCAATTCTAGACTAAAGTATTTACTACCAAATAACTTGACATTAGCACATTTTTCTGGGAGGACATTTTATGACCAGCATAACAAGTACATAACTTACTTAAGTGGGAAAATTGACTTCTTACAAATGTTGAGCGTCAACTGGTATTAGATTTGTATTATAATTTATTTTTAAATAATTAAAGCTAATTGTTTTGTTATGAAACTTTTGATAAAGCTTGGAAATATCAAAGGTTTTTTATTGGCTAGTCTTCAGGGCTTGACATAATTTTTTTGATCACTAGCCACTGTGGTTAGTAGTTTTCCAATGTTACTAGCCACTTGCCTTTTTCACTAGCCACAATTTTGTTGTTGGGAAAATATATTTCGCATAAATTTGACTTTGGTAGCCTAAATTTACTTGTAATTTTACTTGATTTAAATTTTGTGTTATGTTCACATGTCTCCTCGTTCATTTAACCTTTTTATGTGTTGTGAATTTGCTCAAGGAGCATTAACAAATGGGTTGTGGTTTTCTCTGGCCACAACAACACACACAAAATAATTATTTCCTTGCCACAAATTTTAATAAAGTGTCAAAAAAGCTAAATATATCTGTAAACACTCTTTATTCAAAAAAAAAAAAAAAAAAAAATATATATATATATATATATATATATATATATATATATATATATATATATATATATATATAAACAATTGACATTTAAAAATATATATTTTCATGTATTTAGTTTGTCCAGGCTAAAGGTCCCAGATCACCAGTAAACTACATATAAATATGGAGTTAATCTCCTATTAAAGCAATGTTGTTGTAAAAAATGATAATTAAACCATTTTAACAAAAATAACTGTCAGCAAAAAAAAAAAAAAGCATATGAAACACATTCTGTGCGGATAATGAAAGGATAATCGGTTAATAATAGGCCCAGTAATAAACTGTTCAAAGAATGGTTAAAGTGAAAGCAGCAAAAAAAAAAAACTCAAGCACTTGAAAGCAGCAGGACTGTGGATGCATGAGCCACAATTTTTTCCAGTTCAAAGAGAAACAATCGCACTAGTTTTATTTCAGGGTTGCTTTGCTCTAAAAAGTGGGACACAGTATCTTTTAAGCACTCGCATGCTCACGTCCGCTGTGCGTGCAACACCAAAGCCCTTGTCAGTGAGTTATGATAGCCTGTCTCATCATACACCTGATCATTCTCTCATTCAGTATTCATCTGCTTTCTTTTGCTTGTCATCAGTCCTCCTGCTTCTTGATTCTAAGATCACATTTGCACGCACATTAACAATTTTAGTTACTATTTTAGTCTTAAACTAAAATACTTAAAGACCTGGAAATTTGAAATTATTTCAATCAGCCAAAATGGCTAGTGGGGGTAGATGTCTAACCCACCACAGCTGAAATCTATCTGCATTTGACAGATTGGCGGGTGTTAATGTCAAGCCCTGCTAGTCTTACATACAAAAGATAGTGTCTCAGTATTATTCAAACATCTGTGTCAAATAAGACTTTTCTATGTTACATGATAAACTAGTTTTTTGACAAAGAACCAAAACAAGCAAATGCTAAAGTTATGGCCTGTGGTGAGACAAACTGCAAAGTAACATCACATGCTTCTCAGGTTACGGTGAATAAGTAAATGTAAGTGTACAGCAGTGTCAATAAGCCAGTTCAGTAAGTAAGGGGCTACTCACACTTTGCTATCCAGACCGTGCACAGGCCCGTTTTCCGTATATCGTTTGAGAAGTGTGAATGCTCTGAATCGGGCTTAGGCACGGTTCACTTTGCTGGCCCTGGCCTGGTAGGAAGAGGTGTGCCAAAGCACGGTTTATTTGTGCTTTGGCGCGGTACGCTTGAGTGTGAGCGCAAAACGTCCCTAAGCCCGAAACTGAAAGCGAGATGTGACTTTTAAGGGACTGTTTCATATAGATTACTTTATCATTCTTACTGTTCAGCGAGCGCAAACTATCGTAGTTTATTAAAGATGCAAACCCTTCACTGCACAACAGCTGCACACCTTCAGCAAACGTCCTAATTCCTGCAGCACGAGGACTTTATGATCTATATGATCTGATCTGTTCAGCGAAATATTTGAATGCGTGTCACTGCATATCAAATAACCCTAAACGATATAACTAAAGAAATCTCCACTGTCCTGAACGAGAGCGTTTACTGAACAGCGCAGAATCTATGACATAAGCGTGCCCAGGGCCGAATGTAATGTGAGTGCGGGCCGTCGTGGGAGATGGGAGGGGGGACAACCGTGCTGTGGCCAGGTTCAAGGCAACTGTACATAGTGTAAGTACGCCCTTGTTTTGCCTCAGTCCTCTGTTTTGCAAGTGTCATTTTTTCAGTGGCAGCAAAGGCTATTAAAATACTTGTTGCACGTCTTCATGTTCTTGCCCCAGCTGAGAAGAGCAGTTTAACTTCACCACGTGAGGTTTGGACAAATGGCCTTTGTTGGGAAGCAGCGTTCTGAGCCAAGAAACCCTCTCCAAAACTGTGCCAAAGTGATCATATTTTGTAACACAACAGAAAGCTTCACAGCATAAAGCCGTATTCATTTCCCCTAATGCATTACATCAAGCTGTTCTACTCCTCACAGTGTTGCTCATTCAGCACATGACACAGCTTCACTGCTGGCTTCTGGAGCAGCTCTTCAGTTGATAATCCTCAAAGACAGCAATCTGTTTTAGAAGAGGCCAAAAAGCTAAAGGAACCTGACATCTAATACATAACATTAACTTGCCTGTTGTTCTATCTCAGTATGGTGGTCCTTCGCTATAACGCGGTTCACTTTTCAGGACCTCACAATTTTAAAGATTTTTTTCATGCAATTTGACATGCTATTTTTCTACAGCACATTGTGTTCTGCGTCCTGACTGTTTGTAGACCATTATCAATCAATCTCCCCTTTGTCGTGTCTTCTGTACAGTACAGAATGCGTTCAGCTTGCTAAATTTACATTAATATTTGATCGCTAGCAGTGTGACTCTGAATGTACTCTGTTTGCAATTTTTTTTTCCCTCCACATTGTCGATGAAATGTTCTGAACCGTCAAAAGCACCGGCAGTAGCACTCAAAATACAGAGAAAGATGCTAGCCATCGCACAAAAACGTATGGACACGCTAAAGGAAGGTGGAAGTTACACAGCTGTAGGGGCCATTGCTGAATAGATAAATGAAGATCAAATGGTTTTGATCTTTGGTTTCATTTTATAATATTAGACTTATTTTTCTACGAAGGTTTGAACTTCGAGAGTGTTTAAACAAAAGCGAAAAGTGTAAAAATGTTAATGCCTGTCTGAGACAAGTGTAAATAGTGTGTAGTGAGAGGTTTTACAGTCTTAAAGCATCTATAATGATGGTAAAAAAATAAAGCTACTTCATGGATTTGCCTATTGCTAGTTTTAGAATGTAACTCCCGTGAATAACGAGGGACCACTGTATACTGAAATGCATCTGACAAGCATTACTATTAGCATTGCTGAAACTAAGGAATGATGATTTGAACAAACAAGCGCAAACATTTAAAGGCACATTATGCAATATTTTTTTGCCTCTAGAGGGCGCATATTTACAACAAACAAATGCATAGTTTTATGACGTTGTGATTGAATGTGGACTCATGGAAGTTGTGGTCTATTACATCGTATGGGACTTTTGCATAAATCATGTTCCTTTATGAAGAAAGTATGTAGTATGAAGCAGTATGTAGTATGAAGCCGAAAGCTGTCAAAGTAAAAAAGCGACTACAGAAAACCAGTCATTATCTGGTGTGAGCCCTATTTACCACATGTAGTGCAACACATCTTGCCAACTTGCAACAATTCATGTTGCCCATGAATTGAATGTTCATTTCACTGCATGGCGCATGCCTTGCATTTACAGTATACTTCTCATTATGTTTTTGGCGCTCTACAGTAACACTTCTGAAATGCTAGCATACATCGGAAATGTGTGAAATGCTAACTTACAGTAGAAGTACGCTGAAACTTACACTCATTCAAGAAAGAAAGAGGCAGACTTTTTATCATAAAGTAAATGCAAATGTAAGTTATCCATCTAGAGTTAACCAAGGAACTATTGCTAAATATTTTGCACCGAGATCGCTCCTTTCCCATGGCTCTCTTCTCTGTCTACACTCGTCAACAATATCTATCTATCTATCTATCTATCTATCTATCTATCTATCTATCTATCTATCTATCTATCTATCTATCTATCTATCTATCTATCTATCTATCTATCTATCTATCTATCTATCTATCTATCTATCTATCTATCTATCTATCTATCTATCTATCTATTGTCAAAACTAAATTTATTTAGCCCTTAACAATTTTAGCCCACTGTATTGGAAGCATTGTTGGCTATTTTATGTCACAGTTTACTTTATTTTGCTATCCTCACTTATATAAATGAAATAGATCAGGGGTGTCAAACTCAACTCCTGGAGGGCCGAAGCCCTGCACAGTTGTTCCAACCCTGCTCCAACACACTTACTTGTAGGTTTCAAACAAGCCTGAAGGACTCAATTAGTTTGATCAGGTGTGTTTAATTAGGGTTGGAACTAAACTGTGCAGAGCTGCGGCCCTTTTGGAACCGAGTTTGACACCTGTGAAATAGATGATATAATTAAATTATTAAATAAAACGTTTATTTATCTGTATTAAATGATTTACATGGTTTCAATTGTTTACTTAATCCCATTGTCTTTTCAATAAAAAAACTTCAGTTCAAAATCCACTTTAGTTCAAATGTTAAAAACTGAGTTTGAAAGCCATTAATAGTTTGTTTTATGCACTGTTGGAACCAAAACTTCACTCCAGCCACTTTAGAGTAAACTTTAGTAACTTTAGTAACCACCCAAGCATCACCCACATGTACTTCAGACACCCATAAAAAGTGTTACAGGTGATAAAACTCAATCAAAAAAGATGTGAACTCAGACCTGGTAGGAACTGCTGAAGTGATAAAATAAGAATTAATAGGAAGAGGAACTCTCTTAACATTTGACACTTTGCACCAAAAAAGCTCATATAAGACCACAAAGCATTTAGTCTGACTCACAGCCAGAGCAAGAGCAAAAAATTGTCCTTTTGCATCCATGAAGTCATGGTAACTACCTATTAACTTCCTATATCACCCACAATGCAAAAATACCATACAATGTGATAAACTATACAAACAACTTCCCTTTTTTAAAGCCACAAGTGAGCAAGGTCACGGTGAACAGAAGCTTTTCTTTGCACAAGCATTAAACTGCTAGCATGAGAACCCCGATGAATCATATGAGCAAGTTTCTGATCAGCTTTGACGGGTTTTTACATCTGCTTAGATGACAAAAAACAGTGGCGAGCTGCTGCAGTCTAAAATTTCATGTCTGCAGAAATTTAAGCACAAGGAGCTGACAAGCTTTCAGCAAAGACAATCTCTCTTGGCAGACAGCAGAAGTAAACACAAAATGTCTGAAAGATTTCAGGAGTTAAAGCACAACTCTGGTTACAATCCCATGAAAATAAGACAAAAACTAAAAACTTTGACTATTTTATAACTGTTTTATACTGTGTACAATGTCGAGTGATCTGGTTTGCACTTGAATACATTATAATAATAATAAATATTATTTATTTATTATTTTTTTCCAGGGCCAGAAAAAAAAGGAAACAAAGTAAGACTTGTCAGACGAACAAAAATTGTAAGATATAAACTCACGAATCTGAAAGTGTGAATAGCGAGACCCAAAGAAATAAAATAAATATTTTTTGCTTGTCTAGAAAACACTTCTTGAATTAAGCATTTTTAAAAATGTTGACTAGAAATAAGAAAAAGTAAGAAAAGCATTTTTCCAGTGCAATGTTCCATGGTTAATATATATACCGGAATAATATATTATATTATATTATAAATATATACCGGAAAGGCGATTTCACACAGTTTTTGAATCCAGTCATCCAGTTCAGCTGTCTCAACAGCAAACACAAATGTTTTTTCAGTTGTCTCCACCAAAAAAGGCCCACAATCCCGTGGACAGCCTTCCACGTCAGCCTCCGAAACACGAATACAGTCGCTCATTTTTATCACCTGTAAAAAAAAAATAAAATAAAATAAATAAATAAAACTTAAGTTCAACACAGCTTGTTATCTTTTAGAATATTCCATACTGACCATTTAGCCTTTTTATAATAGTATATTAAAATAGTATATTGAATTTTGGCTTTCCATATTAATTCATTCATTCATTTTCTTTTCGGCTTCGGAGGAAAGCAATGCGAAAACAGGGAGAACATGCAAACTCCACACAGAAATGCCAACTGACCTAGCCGGGGATTGAACCAGAGACCTTCTTGCTGTAAGGCAATCGTGCTACCCACTGTGCCATTGTGACACCCATTTTCCTGGTATTATATTTCTTTTTGCTCATTTTGGCTTTCCATAATATTGTATTTTTTGTCCATTTTGTATTTTCATAATACTATATTGAATTTGGACCATTTTGGCCTTCCATAATATTATATTAAATTTTGGCCATTTTTGCTTTCCAAATTAGTATATTTTATTTTGGTCGTTTTGGCATTCCATAATAATATATTTTTTTGGCCATTTTGGCTTTCCATGATATTATATATTTTTCGCCATTTTGGCTTTCCATAATATTACATTTCATTTTATAATACATTATTTGGCTATTACTACTACTATCAATAATAGTATATTGAATTTGGGCCATTTTTGCCTTCCATAATATTATATTTTATTTTGGCCATTTTGGCTTTCTTAATAGTATATTTCATTTAATAGTATATTTTATTTTGACCATTTTGGCTTTCCTATATAGTCTTATTTATTTTGGCCATTTTGCCATCATGGTATATTGCATTTAGGTCATTTTGGCTTTCCATAATATTATATTTTATTTAATAACATATTTTTTGGCCATTTTGTCTTTCTATAATAGTACATTTCATTTAATAATATTTGTTTTTGCAAATTTGAAACATGACTCATAATTATCAAGAACTAATTATCATCCACATGCTTTCATTTTTGAAAATACTACAATTGTGAAAGTCCTTTTTTTTTTTTTGGTAGAAGGGATCATAGCAGAAATAGGCACATGTTTAATGGTACTTCCCACAAAATTTTGTTCTCCCACACGTAACGCATGACCCATAACTGGTTTGATTATTCATAAACCGTGGTAGATTTTGAATTACATCACTCTCCTCAAATACGCCACATCTTATGTGTTTTATTCTGGAAAATTTGAGCTCCACAGGCTGTCCTTTACCTTTTTGTTTTCATGTTTGCGGTTTGCTTTCTCCAGCGTGTTAGGGGTTCCATCTTTAATCTCGAAAAACTCAAGGCGAGAGATAGAGCAGGAGCTTTCTCGATACAACACAGACCAGACCTTTCGCCATTTCTGAAACAGAGAGAAGGTTGAGAGTCAACTTACATATTTTTTATATTTCAGAATGTTTACTATCAGACAGCTTTTGTTAAACTTATCCAAGCTACATAAATATAGTTGAAGTCAGAATAAGCCCCCCTGAGTTATTAGCCCCCTGTTTTTTTTTTTCCACAATTTCTGTTTAAAAGAGAGAATGTTTATTTTAAACAGATTAGTAAGCATAATAGTTTCAGTAACTCATTTCTTATGACTGATTTATTTTATTGTTGCCATGGTGACAGTAAATAATATTTTACTAGATATTTTTCAAGACACTTCTATACAGCTTAAAGTGACATTTAAAGTCTTAACTAGGTTAATTAGTTTAACTAGGCAGGTTAGGGTAATTGGGCAAGTTATTGTATAACGATGGTTTGTTCTGTAGACTATCGAAAAAATATATAGCTTAAAAGGGGTAATAATTTTGACCTTAAAATTAAAAACTGCTTTTGTTCTAGCCAAAATAAAACAAAAAAGACTTTCTCCGGAAGAAAAAATATATATTTATCAGACATACTGTGAAAATTTCCTTGCTCTGTTAAACAATGTTTGGTAAATATTTAAATATTTAAATAATAAATTAATGTTGTGACAAAATTTCTAATGCTACATGTGTTAAAATTAAGGACTGTAAAATAAAATATATGTTGTAACCTAAATTAAAACATAGTAAAATTAGTCCACAAAATAGTCATGTAAAATTATTTAAATTAAAAGTAAAAAAAAAAAGAAATAGAATACTAAACTTAACATTTTAAAAACATAGACACATACAGAAAAAAAGAAACTTTGAGAGAAATGAATTGTGAGGGAAGTAAACGTCACTAAGATATAAATGTATCATTTAAAAAAAAAATTATTATAAAATACATTTATAAATTTCATACTAATATTTCAGACATTCATAATTAGCATATCTTTATGCTATTTTATAGTTGATAATGTTTAATAATTAGTATTAATTCAATTATTATTTGCATTACTTGAATGAATTTAACATTAACATTGCACATAGTTTTTAAAAAACATTATTTATTATTATTATTATAATGTATTCAAGTGCAAACCAGATCACTCGACATCATACACAGTATAAAACAGTTAAAAAATAGTCAAAGTTTTTATCTTCAGCCAATTAATTCTTCTTTCTGTAATACATTTTAACTTGGGTAAATTTATTTTACCTGCCAAAAAAGTCCTCAAACATGCATTGAAAACTGCTTACATGCATCATGCAATGGCATATGACCGGCCTTTTAAAATATATGGTGTCTACACAAACATAATTCACAGCTATAGGCAACAACTTAACAAAAAGAACACTTAAACCAGAGACTTTTCGGTCCCACTTTATATTAAGTGTCCTTAACTACTATGTACTTACATCAAAAAATAAATACAATGTACTTACTGTGTTCATAAAGTATTTGAGAACACTTGTGGTGCTCTTGAGTTGGGATAGGGGTTGGGTTAGGGACAGGTTTGGGGGTGTGGGTAGGTTTAAGGGTGGGTTAAGGTGTAGGGAATGGTCAGCAGTGTATTTACAAATGTAATTACAGAAGTTAATTACAGATGTAATTACATACAGGGCATAAGTACACAATAAATACATGTATTTACACAATAAGTACATTGTAACAAACTATTAATTCTGTGTAAGTACATATTAGTTAAGTACATACAGTTAAGTACATACAAGTACATATTAGTACATACAGTTAAGTACATACAAGTACATATTAGTTAAGGCCACTTAATATAAAGTGGGACCGACTTTTCAAAATGTCAGTGATCCAACATAACACTGCATAAAAAAACTGCTCTTTTGGCCACAAAATGGGAAGTGATTTAAGGCAAAATACCCCAAATACTTCCCGTATGCAAATGTGATATATGTGCATATATTAAACTTGTGTAAATAACAGTATAAAAAAAATACAATTATACTAATGTGCAAGTTATGTAAATGTTACCTACATATATGTATCAGTCTTAGTATGGGTTTTACATATAAAAGACAAATGTAAAATGTGTTTTTTCATGATGACTACATGGGAAATATAAATATCTAAAAACATGGTGTGCACATATAAATCATATGTAAATATAAATAAATATTGAATATGTTTGTATTTATAACTTCATATATTCTTTATATCAATTGCAAAAATATAAAAATGTATTAAAACAAATGTGTTCCACATAAAATTGTAGACAAGTATACTAATATAATTTGCAGATATGTTGTTTAGTTCAATGTGTATATATAAATGAATCCTAAAATTATTGGGGGATAAAATTAATGGTGTTACTAGCATAAGCACATTTGTCATTTAAATATATTTGAATTACTAATTTTATTAACCTAAATATGAATTGAACACAATGTTGAACACATTTTCATTAACAAACCAGTAAATATGGACCTTGTGGGGACATTTATTTGATTCAGTACTGAAGTTTGAAGTTAAACAACTAGAATGTATAATAATTGAGGAAGTATTTGAGTCACGCTGAGGAGGTAATCTGAAAAAAAGATTAATACAAAAAGAAGCGCACTGGATTCATATTTATAATCACTTACACCAAGAGGAATAAATGAGTTGTACCTTTTATTTAATGGTTTGTTGTTTATCTATAATATTGTGGATTTTGAGTATGTAATAAAACAAAAATGAGATGGAAATGTATTTTCTAAAGTTTTTTTTTTTTGTTTGTTTTTGTTTTGTTTGTTTTTTTGTTTTTTGTTTTACTGTCAGACTTACATTGTATTGATGTAGACATGAATAATTGAATGATGATAATTGAAATGCTATTTTCCTGTGCAATGGAAATAATGCTTTTGAAGGTGAAGGAAAATATTTCTTGTGTATTTCTCTGTATATAAACGTAATTGACCATATCACTTTAATAACAACAACCTTCATTTATTGGATAAATCCAGTAAAAAAAAAAAAAAAAAAAAAATATATATATATATATATATATACAGGTGAAGTCAGAATTATTAGCCCCCTTTTGATTTTGTTTTTCTCTTTTAAATATTTCCCAAATGATGTTTAACAGAGCAAGAACATTTTTACAGTATGTCTGATAATATTTTTTCTTCTGTAGAAAGTCTTATTTGTTTTATTTTGACTAGAATAAAAGCAGTTTTAATTTTTTTAAAACTATTTTTGGGACAAAATTATTAGCCCCTAAATATTTTTTTCAGTAATCTACAAAACAAACCATCATTATAGAATAACTTGTCTAATTACCCTAACCTTCCTATTTAACCTAATTAACCTAGTTAAGCCTTTAAATGTCACTTTAAGCTGTATAGAAGTGTCTTGAAAAATATCAAGTAAAATATTATTTACTGTCCTCTTGGCAAAAAGTAAAATAAATCAGTTATTAGAAATAAGTTTTTTAAATTATTATGCTTAGAAATGTGCTGAAACAATCTTCTCTCCATTAAACAGAAATTATATTCTAAATGCAAATAAATACACCAATGTCCAATGGTGAAATGTACTCATCTCGATTAGAACCACACGTAGAACACTGATTATAATAATGAGAACTTGTTAAAGCTTTTTACATCGACACAAAGTGCCCACAGAGAGTTGGATCATGAACGCATCAACTAGTATTTAAACTGTGAGATTCCTCCATCAGGAAACAGCCATAATACCACGAAGAGTTTTAAAAACCTCTGTGGTTCAGACATTAGACATTACCTACCATTTCAGCGAAATCCATGGCCTTAAACAGCAGATAATCTATCACAGATGCAACAGACTGCTTGCGGTTTGCTGAAGAGACGATTCTGATCCTATTGCTAACATTAGCTTCCTTTAATGGACTCCAGCAGCCCATAAGTCCTCTCAGTGATGCCAATGGGCTAATTCCCCTCTGCATATGGCACAAACCAACAATATGATCAACGGCATCAATCAAAATCAAGCCAAAATGGGTTTAGATCAGGATATTAATGTGTTCAAATGGATCACGTAGTCAGTTTAAGACGTTGTTCCTGACACTGGCAGAGAGCTTAATATGATTCATGAATTTCTTTCTAATTCTAAACGCTCTATTGATACAGAGTATTTGCTGACAAACATGTGGTTCAGATTGGGGGAAGGCAGCTAAATGAAGCACTAAGGAAAGCAGCTAATTGAAATGTATAGACCAAACGAAAAAAAAAAAAAGAAATCCACATAAAAAAAAAAAAATACATATATATATATATATATATATATATATATATATATATATATATATATATATATATATATATATATATATATATATATATATATATATATATATAGATAGATAAAATGGAGAAGCTACTACCCCTTAACATCCAATGCGGTTTGGATTTAGAACTAATCACTACACCGAATCTGCTAATTGTTATCCTACAGAGAATATGAGATCCAAACTTGACAAAGATGGAGTAATAGGAGCAGTTTGACACAGTAAATCATGAGGTACTCCTCTCAAAGATCACTGTTTTTTACTTTTCATAAGGCTGTTATGTGGATGACTTCATATCTAACAAATAAGAAACAATAGCCCCTTTCACACAGTGATACCGGTAAATATCCGGAAAATTTCCAGAACGACTTTACCGGTATATTCAAAAAAGCGCTGTTCACACAGGCTAGGACGTTACGGAAATTTTCCGGAACAGAGCATTCACACATCCATTCCAAAATACCGGTAAATTCTGACATCATTCACCACAAATGAGCTTTAAACGGCTGCGCTTGTATTTGTAAACATTTGACTAAATTACAAACTCTGTGGATGATCAATATTGTGAACAACTTTCGCAGGATCACTTTCGCATGTCGAGATGTTCATAATATGTGCGTGTGCAGGCGCTCACAGGCTGTTTCACAGGCACACGCAAAGCTTGAAGGTAAACAAACAACGGCTTGTCATAAGCATCTCGTCGATGATTATTTATACAGTTGGCATTA